ACCCCGTCTCTAGTAAAAATACAAACATAAGTCAGGCATGGTGGCAGGCGCCTGCAATCCCAGCTACTTGGGAGGCTGAGGCAGGAGAATGGCTTGAATCTGGGAGGTGGAGGTTGCGGAGAGCAGAGATCGTGCCATTGCACTCCAGCCTGGGCAACAAGAACGAACTCCATCTCAAAATAAAAATCATCTCGTGAGACTTATTCCCTACCATGAGAACAGTATGAGGGAAACTGCCCCCATAACTGAATTATCTCCACCTGGCCTCACCTTGACACATGGAGATTATTACAATTCAAGGTGAGATTTGGGTGGGGACAGGGCTGCACGTCACGGGGTGAGGCTCGGCAGCGCTCAGCCACCGGAATGCTGCCCTCCCAGGCTGGCTGGTGCTGCTGCCATGCGATGGCCGGGCTGCCAGCAGCGGAGGTGCCACTGAGCCCCATTGGGTGCCATTTCCTTTTGAGACTCTGGGGTCTTCTACCACGGCTGAGCAGCGACACGCACCCTGGACGTGGCTTCCCCGCTCTGCCCTCTGAGTGAGGTCCCACCTCACGCGGCTCTCTGAGCTGCTCACGCCCCGTGTTTCATCCAACGCGACCTCCAGCAAGCCGATCATCTTGCAGGCGGGATGGGCAAACCGCACGGCTTCCCATGCATGTTCCAGCTCCTTGCGTGCACAGCAGCTGGTCCTGGTGATGCTGCATGTGAGACGCAGCCATGCGGAATCCAGTCTCCAAGATGACAACAGGGACCCCTGGGTGTTCACACCGGAGCCCCCCACACAGGGTCTCGGGCAAGCCTGGACACAGCAGCGGTGACAGCGTCGCCTCCAGACGACATGCAGCTTCTATTTCTGTCTCTTAGGCTGCACGGCAGCCACTTGGGGGACTTGGTGGCCACTCAGGGCGCAGCCCCATGAGGAGGTCCCTATCACACACACCCAGAGCTTCGGCCGGCGGCCGGGTGAGTGAGCATGGGAATAGGTCTCCCCACTCAGCGGGCCCTCGGTGGCACCCATGTGGCTGGCACCTTGTGAGCCGCCCTGACCCCAACCCTCAGAAACCGAGGCCATCACACCCGCTGCCTTAGGTGGCTAAGGGCTGCGTGGCTTGTTCTGAGGCTGCAGATGACACTCACAGTGTGGCAGCAGGGACATGAACTGAGCAAGGTTTAGGCGCCATCCCCAGAACGCAGCTTTTGTCCCGAAGCAGTGGCCAGCCTTGTGCCAGCCTCTTGTCCCAGAGCCACAACCGAGGATTCCTGGAAGCAGAGACTGTGCTCCCCAATATGCCCCTCTCACACACCCATGGCTATTTTGTTTCTGTGCCCTCTGCACTGGGCTCTATTGCTTAGGACGCCCCCGTTCCGGAGGGAGGAGGCCTGGAAGAGAGACCCTGAAACAATTCCATTGCCTGGAAGCTGAAACTGCGCTTCGCCATCTGGTGCTCCTTACACCCCGGACCCAGAGACAACAAAAGGAGTTTCCACATTGGCCACGGAGACCTTGACTGTGAGTGGGAGGGGTGCTACCTCCAATGGGACCCAGCGGGAATATGCCTGGAACCCAGGGAACCTTGGGGACTGGCACAGTCATTCCCAGCAGGGAAGTAAACGAATAGTGGGCAGCTCCCCAAGCAGGACACCCAGCCATGGACAGACATGAGGCCACACATGACACCCAGCTGTGGACACAGGGCCACGTGAGACACCAAGCCGTGGACACGCACAGGGACACATGCAGGGCCATGTGGGACACCCAGCCACGGACACACACAGGGACACACGCAGGGCCATGTGGGACACCCAGCCACGGACACGCACAGGGACACATGCAAGGACATGTGGGACACAGCCACGGACATACACAGGGCCACATGCAGGGCCACATGAGACACCCAGCCATGGACACACATAGGGACACACTCAGGGCCTTGTGGGACACCTAGCTGTGGACACATGCAGGGACATGCAGGACACCCAGCCGTGGACAGACACGGGAACACACAGGACGCCCAGCTGTTGACACATGCATGGCCACACAGGACACCCAGACATGGACACGCACAGGGACATACGCAGGTGCACACAGGATGCCCAGCCGTGGACACATGGGGCCATCCATGAGCCCCTGCGTCAGGCTGTAGCCGGGAGCCGGGCACTGGGAAGCTCACTGCAAGCGTCCGCTGGCAAAGTCCTAGAAGACCTAACCCCACAGGTGGAGAGCAGACAAGAGGTGGCCTGGTGGGGTGGGGCTGCCCACTTAGGCCGTGCGGGGAACGTTCCGGATGCTTTGTGCTGCATGCAAATTAGACCCAGATAAAGCTGAGTCAAAGTCCACGGGCAGCCAGCAGCAGCCAGGCCCACAGGAGGAGGGCAGCAGGTGGGTTCTGGGGGCTCGGGGCCGCGCAAGGAGAGTCCGGAGTCCGGGGCCGGCTGCGGGGAGGGACGGGCCGGCTATCTGCCTGAAACGAGGACGGTGGGAGGCAGGGTTCTCGCCATCAGAGAAGGTGGGTGAGAACAGACCTGCGGCTTTGGTTGCAATTGGAATTATAGATGTGAACGGGAGGTTTCAACACAGCCAGGCAGGCAGGTGGGCAGAGCTGTGCCGGTGTTTCCCGCCTCCGTCTACTGCTGGTCAAGGGGCTGGGTCCAGGCAGGGGCAGGGAATATTAAGGGGAACCTGAGCCTCTCACTGTGCCCGAAAATGCCCACAGAGCGACAGGGACACGAACGCAGGATGTGGAAGGAAGCCACCACCAAACGTGGGGTGGCTAGGGCACCCAGACAAATCACGATGGGCTGGGTCATGGCCCCCGGGACACAGCAACCCGAGCCTGCACGGCAAGCAAACACGGAGGAGAGAACGCTGTCCTAACGGTGGAAAGCCAAGTAACAGGAAGGAATGGTGGAACTGGAAAACCACCCCTTAGAAGCCACGACAGCAGGAATCAGTTCCGGCAGGAAACACCGTCGGATGCCAGCGCCGTGGGATTTCCTGGCCTCAGCGCTTCTCCCCTCAGGCTGCGCATCAGTTTCCAGGGAAACGGCATCACCGCACTGAAGAAGCCGGCGGCTCCATGGCAGAGCTGGCAGCCATCATGCGTCCCACGAGGGGACACTGAGGGGAACAGCTCATCACGCCGGACGCATTGAGCACGGGCACCCCGTGGGACAGCCCCAGCTGTGATCTCAGAACCACAAGCTCTGACTGTCCCAGAAGGACTGAGGCTCTTCCTGATTGTGGGAGGCGAGGGAGCCACCCTCACACAATGCCCACGTGGGCTCCGGGGACGGCTCCCGGACAGGGGTCTGAGTGCCATTTTGCAGCTCTTCTATAAGTTCGGAATTGTTTCAAAATAAGACTTTTTGTTTTTGAGATGGAGTTTCACTCTCGTTGCCCTGGCTGGAGTGCAGTGGCACGATCCTGGCTCATTGTAACCTTCGCCTTCCAGGTTCAAGCAATTCTCCTGCCTCAGCCTCCCAAGTAGCTGGGATTACAGGCATGAGCCACCGTGCCTGGCTAATTTTGTATTTTCAGTGGAGACGAGTTTCTCCATGTTGCCCAGGCTGGTCTTGAACTCCTGACCTCAGATGATCCACCTGCCTCGGCCTCCCAAAGTGCTGGGATTACAGGTGTGAGCCACCCCACCCGGTCCCCTCCTTTTTTTTTTAAAGACAGAGTCTTCCTGCCCCTGTCGCTCATCATAAAGTGCAGTGGTGCAATCCCGGCTCACTGCAACCTCTGCATTGGCTCCAGGGATTCTCCTGCCTCAGCCTCCCGAGTAGCTGGGATTACAGACATGCACCACCATGCCCAGCTAATTTTTGTATTTTTAGCAGAGATGGGGTTTCGCCATGTTGGCCAGGCTGGTCCTGACCTCAGGTGATCCGCCTGCTTTGGCCTCCTGAAGTGCTGGGGTTATAGGCATGGGCCACTGGGCACAGCCGAAAACTTTTTTTTTTTTTTAAAGAAGTAGACAATCACAGCAAGCTCGTAAAGTGAGGCCTCCCAGGGTTCATCAGCCCCACAAACTGTCTATGGTTCATTAGCCTGAGAACCGTACAGGGTTCATTAGCCCTGTGGAGCCCCCAGCCCTGGTGCAGGTGCTGCTGAGCAGTGAGAGGCGGGCACAACACGGCCAGTTGTCAAAGGAGGACCACGGGGACGGTGCTCTCCTCCATGCTCAGCTGCAGCGGGGTTCAGTGGCCTCCGCTGCACCCCTCCTGCTGCTACACAGGTGGGCCACGGTGCAGGGCACTGGATCCCAGCTTGAGTCGCGACCACATCACAGCTAGCTCGGGTCAGAGATTGGCTCAGGGCCCAGTGCTGTCTTCAGTGGGGTGGGGTCAAAATGTTAGGACCCAGGAGGCCGGCGGTATGAGATGGGCACTCTTGTGGGCAGTGTGGCCTGAGGCCAGCACTCAGCCCTCTCTGTTTCCCCCGCCCTGCCCAGGCTGGAAGGCTCAGGTCATCCCAGGCACCTGCAGGGTCAGTGCTGTGGACGTCACGGACCTGGCCGCAGCTCCCGGGGCTGGGGGGCTGTGTGGTTTGGGAGTCCTTCTTAAGGTCAGCTCAGGGTCCCCTCGGTCACTCTGGGCAATTCGTGCACCTTCCCAAACCCCTTCTTGCTAAACTCATCAGAGGCCACTCGGTGCCTCCAACCCCAGCTCCACAGGCAAGTATTCAGGGCAAGGAGGCAGCTGTCTCTCCGGCCTCTGCAAACCCAGCTCGCCGTTCTGTGGAAGCGCAGAGCACGAGAAACCAGGAAGGAGGAAAAGGAACCTGATTGTGGAGTTGCCAGGAACACAAACAAACCCAGGAAAACTGAGGAATGCAGCGTGAAGGCTACTCCTTCCAACCACGGCTTTCGCTCAGTCCTCTTTCCATCTCCCAGTGTTTGCCCGTCGAGTGCAGAACAGAAACCCCCAGATCTGCTTCTCTGCCCACAGGTGGGAAGGACCCGCCTGCTGCCAGCCCCGGCTCTGCCCTGACTCACTCGCTCTCCTTCAGCATGGCCTCAGTTCTCAACTGCAGGTTGCTCTCGTTCTCCAGCTCCGCAAACAGGCGTCTGGACACGGCCTGCAGACGGCCCACGGCAGCCCTGCAGAGGTGAAGGGACAGGCCGGGTGTGCGTCAGGCCTGGGTCACTCCGGGGCCACCCAGGCTCGCCTGGCACCCCTCGGCCTCCTCTCCCTCAGGAGGGAAGTCTTGAGCTGGGCCACGGAGCAGGTGAGGAGTGTGGGGCCGGCGGGAGGCTCACCCCATGCCCACTTCCCACTGGGCATGTGGGCACACATGATGAGCCCCAGGCCCTCGTGTCGGGGCTGCCCTGGGTCCCTCCCTCCCTCCTGCTCCCCTCCTGGTGTCATCCACCCCAGTGCACATCCAGCGCCAGCCCAGCCACGCTCCTAGAGACCACTTCCTGAGCAGTGGACAGTGTGCCCACGAGAGCCGCACAGCGTGAAGCCAGCTGGAGGTCCCAGCCGTGTGCGCAGGAGGTGGGCTTTCAGCAGCTGGCTGGGTACGGCGGTCACCCGAACACCCCGAGTTACACGGTCCAGGAATGTGGCAGGTCAAAGCCCCGCAGAGGCCTGGGCAGCCCCATCTGTTCCTCGACCCTCAGGCCCCCAGCCCACAGTGGCCAGGAGCCCTTACCCCCCAGCCAGGAGCAGCTGCCGGTTCCCTCGGCCCTGGCTGCTGGGCCTCCGCTCCTCACGGCTGCACCAGCCACTCCAGGACGGGCACCCTGCTGGGGCCTTCCAAGGGCTGGGCTGGGCTGAGCTCGGCAGGCGCCCTGTGTCCCCGGGGTCGGAGGTGAGGCCGGAGCTGAGGCAGCGGAGCCACGCTCAGGGATGCAGTGACTGTCAGTTCCCCCAGGCCCTCCTGCTGTGAGCGAGCATGGGACCCATGTGGTCCTCTCACCTCTCACCCCGCCCTGGGCGGCCTTGCTCTGCTGCTCCTTGCTCTGCTGTTCCCCTGACCGTGGACCCACGCGCCCTGCCTCCCAGTGACCCAGCCCCGGTGCCCTCCAGCCCCGGCTTTGCCGACCTCATGTGCTTCTGTGTGTTTGTGTGTCATGGCCACACACTGGGGCGCCTCACTGGCCTGAACATAGCAGGCGCCTTGTGCTCCCCTTCCGGTGAAGGAAGGAGCCTCTGGCCCTGATCTCACGCCCTGTTCCCTGCCCTGTGGCGAGGGCCACCTACGCGTTGCCGGCCTGTCCCTCTGCGGCGATCTCGGCCGCCGTGGCCTCCTGCTGCCTGCGGGTCAGGTCCTGCCTCTGCCGACAGGCGCGCAGCTCCCCTCTGGAACAAGGAAGCGAGGGTCAGATGATGCTTCCCTGAAACTCCAGCCTCCGAAGTGGCAGTGGGGCCGGGGAGGCAGGGCCAGGCCCCAGAGGCCTCCTTGTCCAGGCCAGGAGTCTCTCTAACACCTTCAAGCCACACAAGAAGGGTCCTGTTGTCTGTTTTTGGAAAACCCTGCCCAGGGGCAGCAGTGTGGCCCCACCTGAAGGTGAGGTGGTCTCGGGGCCAAGGATGGTGCAGGAGCGGGGGACCCGTGTCTGCGTAAACAAGTGTGCTCCCGCGTGTGACGGGTACGTGGCGGGAGGTCTGGGGGCCACGGGAGGGGACACAGCTGCAGCTCTCCACAGCCTTCCAGGGTGCAGACCAGGCAGGCCCGGATCGCCAGTAGGGCGTGGGCCGGAAGGAACCCCGGTTCACACACTAGCCCCTGGGGTGACCCTGGCCTCAGTTACCAACAACGGAGCAAAGCCCAGAGCACAAACTCTGGGGGTCGCTCTGTTTTTTTTTGCTTTTTTTCAACACAGAGCCTCACTTGTCTCCCAGGCTGCAGTGTGGTGGTGTGATCTCAGCTCACTGCAACCTCCGCCTCCCGGGTTCAAGTGATTCTCCGGCCTCAGCCTCCCGAGTAGCTGGGATTACAGGCGCCTGCCACCAGGCCCAGCTAACTTTTGTATTTTTAGTAGAGATAGGGTTTCACCGTGTTGGCCAGGCTGGTCTTGAACGTCTGACCTCAGGTGATCCACCCGCCTTGGCCTCCCAAAGTGTTGGGATGGCAGGTGTGACCCCCTGTGGCCGGCCGTGATGGTCACTTGGAAGACACAGGGCCGCTCCAGGAGCATCTGAGGGAAATCGTCATTTCCATAGGTGAAGAACCCATGTTAGGGGCCCAAGCTATGCAGAAGAACGTTTGTCTTTTAATTTTTTATTTTCAAAGACAGGGCCTTGCTCTGCCACCTAGGCTCCCTGCAGCCCTGACCTCCTGGGCTCAAGCCTCCCGAGTAGCTGGGACCACAGGCACCACCCTCCCAGCTGAATGTTTTGATTTTTGAGGAGACACTGAAATATTTAGGCATGAATTAGCGTACCTGTAATTTGCTTTAAAATAGTTTAGCAAAAAACCCCATAGATATTAAATATAGACACACACATACACAGAGGAAGAAACTACAGCAAAGGCTTGACAGCCGGTGACTCGGGGGATGCTGGGGGGCAGGGCACTTGTTTCCGCCTTCTCTGTGGGAAGAGGGCTGGGAGCGCTGGGCACCAGCTCCTGGGTGGGGCTTGCAGAGCTTCTCCTCCACAGAGACCCTGAGAGACCCTCCCGGGCAGTCTCCCAAGGTGGCGACAGGCACAGGGCCACCCCTGCGGCACCCGTGTCACGGCCTGGGGGGGCAGCAGGAGGTGGCAGGCGCAGTGGCCTCAGGCCCGCTCACCTCGTCTTCTCAATGAAGAGGACTTGCTGCTCATGCATCTTATCCAGGGCGCTCAGGTTCTGTCGCAGGTGAGACGCCTGCATTCTGTCCTCAGCTGTTTTCCGCTTCATTTTGTCAGCACCGGTATCTTGTTCTTTCACTGAGCTTAGGGTGAAAAGGACGCCAGCTGCCACCATGCCGGCTGCAGCCTCGGAACGCCTTCCTCGTGTGGCCTGCGGGGCTGCGGCCTGTGGGAGGGAGGGACGGAGGGAGCAGCCCCCACCCGCACCCGCCCCGGGAGTCACCTGCTGTGTTCTGGGTCCGCGTCATCCTCCGCTTCCTGCAGAAGAGACCTGATGTCAAACCCCGGATCCTCTAATTCATGTCTTTCTAGAAATCGAGGCAAGAGTTAAAAAAACAAAAAGCAGATCAAGCATTTGCTTCTGAAGTTTGAGGATAAACCTTTTTCTTTTTTGAGACAGGGTGTAAGGAACCCAGGGCAGAGGCGAGCAGCCTGGGGGACTCCGTGGGATTGGGGCGCTGGTGCCCAGAGAGAGAGAGAAACAGAGAGCCAGGGCTGGTCTGTGAGGCGAACGGGGGCGGGGGGCGCCAGGGCACAGCACGGCTCAGCTGTGCCCAGAGAAAGAGCGGAGCTGCTACCCTGAAGGCGGCAGGCGAGGGAGCCGCCAGACCAGGCAGCCGGGACAGGCAGACGGCGTGAGAGAAAGCTGCCGGGAGCTGCCGTCGGAGGACACCCCTGCTCACCTGCCTGCGGCCCCGAGTGCTCCTGCTGCTCACCCGCCCACTCCCTTTGGACCTCAGCGTGACATTTGGCGTAGTCGTGAGTCTGACACAGTCTTGCTCTGCTGCCCAGGCTGGAGTGCGGTGGCGCCCTCTTGGATCTCTGCAGCCTTCGCCTCCCGGGTTCGAGGCATCCTCCCACCTCAGCCTCCCGAGTAACTGAGACTAGAGGCGTCTTCCACCACCCCTGGCTAATTTTTATGTTTTTAGTAGAGGGTTTCCCCATGATGGCCAGGCTGGTCTTGAACTCCTGACTTCAAGTGATCCACCCACCTTGGCCTTCCAAAGTGCTGGGATTACAGGTGTGAGCCACCACACCCGGCCAGGTTTTTGTTTGTTTGTTTGTTCGAGATGGCGTCTTTCTCTGTCGCCCAGGCTGGAGTGCAGTGGCGCAATCTTGGCTCACTGCAACCTCCGCCTCCTGGATTCAAGCAATTCTCCTGTGTCAGCCTCCCGAGTAGCTGGGACCACAGGCACCTACCACCATGCCCAGCTAACTTTTGTATTTTTAGTAGAGACAGGGTTTCACCCTGTTAGCCAGGCTGATCTCGAACTCCTGACCTCAGGTGATCCACCTGCCTCAGCCTCCCAAATTATTGGGATTACAGGCACGAGCCACCGCGCCCCACCTATCCACCCACCAGTTTTAGGATAAATCTTGACAATCTCTAACTTGATGGTTCTCAAAGCAAAATCCAGGGAACGCTGAGAGTTCCTTAGTGTCTTTCAGAGCCTGTAGGTGAAACTGTCTTCATCATCACACTGGCTTGCCATCTGTCTTCTCTTTCCATGAGTGTACAGTGGAGTCTTTCAGAGGCCACAGGACGTGTGACGTCACAGCAGATAGCTGTGAGACTCCAGCTGCCTTCTGGGGAACCCGATTCTTGAAGTTACTGCTAATAGGTTTGTTATTGCTATTTTAAATGACTAAGTATTGAAATGTTTTCAGCTTTAATTTTTGGCACAGCAAGTATTGAAAGATATAGGCAACATAAGCAAATGTTCTCTGGGTTTTCAATGATTTTTAAGGATGTAAAGGGGTTCTCAGGCAAAAGAGGCTGAAGGTCACTGTCTCAGAAGACTACAGTGGACTTCCAGCAAAACAGCAAATTCAACACGGGGTTTCTTCCCTTCATTAAATCTCAGTAAAAATGACGGAAAAGGCAGAAAGCCACAGTCACAAGGGGAGCAGGAGAGGGAGACAGTGGGTGGAGAAGGCCACACAGCGCCGGGAGACGGGCCGCTGACTCAGCACACAACAGAACCCAAAATGAGGTGGGGGGGGAGTGGGGTGGGAAGGAAACGTGCTTCCAGATCAGGATGGCCTGCCGGAGCCCAGAACTAGAACCAAATCAAGGCACGTCTCAGAAAAATTTCAGATCATCAGAGATTTTTTAAAAAAGCTTCCAGGAAAAGAAAACAAAAATAGGTCACATTCAAAGGACTGGGATAAAAATGGCATCAGATTTCTCAATACTGATGTTGCAAACTAGAAAACTATGGTCTGCTGCTTTCGAAATCTCAGCCACAATTTGTCTTTCTTTCAAATAAGGACAATAATATAAGCTCCCTCTTTGAGAGAAAAATGTGAGTGTAAAGGCTCTCCTCCCCCAGAGTAAAGGGAGTTACAGGGGGACTATGAAGCATGTCATTTTTCTTTCTTGTTGCTGAGAGTTGTGTTACTGCGAATGAAGCTTTATCGGCTGGGCACGGTGGTTCACGTCTGTAATCCCAGCACGTTGGGAGGCGAGGCAGGCGGATCACAAGGTCAAGAGATCGAGGTCATCCTGGCTAACGTGGTTGTGGGAAGTGGAAAAGTTCCTCTTTAAAGTTTCCTTTCTCGTTAAAGAATAAGTGTGCCAATAACTTTGTGAAGCCATATCCTATGTAGCTGTTAGACCTACCATGCTTACAGACACGTAGTACATTCTGTGTCCTTGTACTTTAACCAAGGTAGCTGTGCTGGACGTGCTCACAGGCATGTCCCAGCTCTCCACTGCTTTTACCTGTTCAGAAAAGTTTTAAGTTGTTGGCCAATCGGGTTTTAGTTTAGATTGTGAGGTCTGGCTCCAACCAACGGAGATCAGGCACAGCAGTAAGGACGACCCCAAATGCGTGAGGGATAAATATGTCTGTCTTCCTTTGTTCATTGTACTCTCTGGCAAGATAGCTAGCGAGGTTACCCTTCCTGCAGTCCAGGAAGTAAAAGTTGCGTTGCTGAAAGATCGTTTGTCTCAGTGCTGATTTTCCTTTGTGGCACTGAGCATCTGTTTCCAACAATGGTGAAACCCCATCTCTACTAAAATACAAAATTACCTGGGTGTGGTGGTGGGCACCTGTAGTCCCACCTACTCAGGAGGCTGAGGCAGGAGAGTCACTTGAACCCAGCAGGCAGAGGTTGCAGTGTGCCGAGATTGCTCCACTGCACTCTTGCCTGGCAACAGCGCAAGACTCAGTCTCAAAAAAAAAAAAAAAAAAAAAAGCTTTATTACCATCTTCCAAAAGGGTGAAATCATGCAAAAGCTCGTCCTCAGGGAACAGGTCGCTGTCATCGTCCATGCTGGGAGATAGAGATTAGCTACAAAAGATGATCACAAAATACAGATCAATAAAATAATAGATTAAAAGAAACTATGAATGAGCAATTTCTCTTAAAGAAGATATTAAGAAAATAATGCACAGATTGGGAAAGAATGTTTGCAGCACACACATATCTGACGCAGGTCTTGGATCTGGAGCACACAAAGAGCTCCCATCAACCACACAAAGTGCAAACACCAGTTTAAAAGGTCAAAAGAGGCCAGGTGTGGTAGTGCACACCTGTAATCCCAGCACTGTGAGAGGCCGAGGCAGGTGGATCACCTGAGGTCAGGAGTTCCAAACCAGCCTGGCCAACAAGGGGAGGCTATAGTGAGCTGCCATAGCGCCACTGCACTCCAGCCTGGGCAACAGAGTGAGACCCTGCCACAAAAGAAAAAGAAATTGCCCAAGAGCATTCCGGAGTATCACTTTACACTGCCATTGCAAATACAAAATTGAAATAATTAAATACAAAATTAGCCGTGTGTGGTGGCACGCGCCTACTCGGGAGGCTGAGGCAGGAAAACGGCGCGAAACCCGGAGGCGGAGGTGAGCAGAGATTGCGCCACTGCACTCCAGCCTGGGGACAGGAGCGAAACGCCATCTCAAAAGTGAACAAAAGAAAAAGAAATCAAAAGATGTGGAATAGCCACAAAAAAAGAGATATACAAATGGCTGATATGGCTCTGACCCTCGGAGTAACATCAGCATCTTCAGGGAAATGCGGACGAAGCCGTAATGAGACACCACTAAAGACTGATTGGAACGCCTGAGACCAACATGCTGCTGGCCGCCAGCACTGGCGAGGCTCTGGAAGGCTGGCATCGGCGCGCGTTGCCGGTGGGAGCGTAAAGTGATGTTCTGGAACACGGTGGGGCAACGTCTTTTTTCTTTTGTGATGGGGTCTCACTCTGTTGCAGTCACAGCTCACTGCAGCCTCAAACTCCTGGGCTCCGGCAGCCTTCCTGCCTCCACTTTGCAAGTAGCTAAGACCACACGTATACACTAACATGCGCTGCTAATTTTTAAATTATTGGTGGAGACAGAGGGTCTCTCTCTGTTGCCCAGGCTGGTCTTGAACTCCTGGTCTCAGCCAGGATTCGCCCACCTCAGCCTCCCAAAGTGCTGGGATTATAAACTTGACCCACTACATCCGGTGCCAAAAATAATTCTTAAATAATTTCAACATTATCGTTACACTTTGGTTATCATGTTGGGAATGTTAGGAGGTTGCTCGTGTGGAACTCTAGGTGCTGAATCTTATGTGTCCACATGTTGGAATTAAATGATTTCACTTAAGAAACAGGCCGGGCGTGGTGGCTCACGCCTGTAATCCCAGCACTTTGGGAGGCTGAGGCGGGCGGATCACTTGAGGTCAGGAGTCTGAGACCATCCTGGCCAACACGGTGAAACCCAATCTCTAATAAAAATACAAAAACTAGCCAGGTGTGGTGGCAGCACCTGTAGTCCCAGCTACTTGGGAGGCTGAGGCAGGAGGATTGCTTGAGCCCAGGAGACAGAGATTGCATTGAGCCGAGATCACGCCACGGCACTCCAGCCTGGGCGACAGAGGGACACTCTGTCTCAAAAAAAGAAAAAAGAAACAATGTTAAAATGACAAACTCTTTAGTTCCTTAATTTTTCTGGTGAAAATTAAATTTAATGTCTAACTTCCTTTTATTTTTTTGAGACAGGGTTTGACTCAGTTGCCCAGCCTGGAGTACAGTGGTGCTATCATAGCCCACGGCAGCCTCGAATTCCTGATCCTTCTGCCTCAGCCTCCCAAGTAGCTGGGACTACAAGCATGCACCACCACACCCAGCGAATTTTTGTATTTTCTGTAGAGACGGGGTTTCGCCATGTTGCCCAGACTGGTCTCAAACTTTTGAGATCAAGTGATCCACCTGCCTTGGCCTCCCAAAGTGTTGGAATTACAGGCATGAATCATCGCACCCGCCCAAGAAACCCTATTTTCTATTACACCTTAAGTATGTGATTGGTTTTAATGCCTATCAATCACACGGTGCTTGTACCATGATTAATATACAAAAGAGCTGATGTCGAATGCTTATAAATCAGCAGGGCACAGTGGCGCATCCCTGTTCCCAGCAACATTGGGGCCTGAGGTGGGAGGATCTCCTGAGGCTAGGAGTTTGCGACCAGTCTGAGCAACACAGCGAGACCACATCTCTAGGAAAAAAAAAAAAGTAAAAGAATGTAGCAGGAGAGGCGCTGCACACCTGTAGCTCCGCCTGTTCAGGAGGCTGAGGTGGGAGGGTCACTTGAACCCAGGAGGTCAAGGCTGCAGTGAGCCGTGATTGTACCACTGCAGTCCAGCCTGGGCAACAAAGCAATACTCCATCTCCAAAGAGCAAAAAAGAAAAGAAAGCTTATAGGGCCGGGCGCGGTGGCTCAAGCCTGTAATCCTAGCACTTTGGGAGGCCGAGGTGGGTGTATCACCTGAGGTCCGGAGTTCAAGACCAGCCTGGCCATCATGGTGAAACCCCATCTTAAAATAAATAAATAAATAAAAAGAAAAGAAAGCTTGTAGGTCAATGTGCCTATCATGGAGACACAATGGGAAGGTTAGCACTACTATTTCACAGTGAAATAATGCGTAATTCCAGGTGAAATGTACATAAACGGTGACACTATGTATGAGATGCTAAAACTGTAACATTGTGGAGGACTGTTTTTCATTGCCCAACTTAGCAATTGCTTCAGAATAATTCACTAAAAATGTTTTCAATGCCTAGCAATGTTTCTTGAATAAATTATTAATGTATCAATGCCAGTAATTTTTTAAACTTACAAGGAAACAATTGCATTTTAAAGTCCTGACAGGCAGAATTTAAAGGCACTGGTAAAATTCCAACCATATTTTTCCCATTTGAAAGAACTGATTAACCTGCTAGTCTCTGAATGGCGGCGTTTTCAGAAAATATTTAGAAGATGGTCAAACCTATTCTGCTCTGTGCTTGTGATTTCCCTGTGGCTCCCATGACCTCATTTTGCTGGACACCCAGCAGATGACAGCCGTATAAAAGGTGTCATTACACACACAGTTCCAGTCAAGGTGATCACACTAAACCACAGACACTTGGAGCCTCAGTTAAAGACGGCACTTCCAACAGGCGTTCACCTCTGACCTCTCCCGAGTCCTCATTAACAGGAGGGGCAGATTTACTGTTTTCAACACGTGAATCCACAAGGGCAAGGCCAGTGGGAGAAGCAGGAGGTGGAGGGATGAGGGTAGCTGGTCCTGCAGGTGGAGGCGCTGCCTGACCCTCTGTAGGGAAGCTGTGAAAGGTCCAGGAACGGGCAGCTTCGGGGGCTTCTCCGGTGGGAGCAGCGGGGTGGGAGAACCCAGAGGCCCATGAAAAGGCGCTGAAGAAGCAGTGGGAGCTCCGCTGTGAACATGGCTGCCCAGTGTGCTGGCATCACACCGAAAATCATCCAGAAATGCTGGGTAGAACTGTACTTTAATTCTCGTAAATATGTTGAAGAACGAGCCAGGCCTGGTGGCTCAGGCCTGTAATCCCAGCACTTTGGGAGGTCAAGGCGAGTGGATCACTTAAGGTCAGGAGTTTGAGACCAGCCTGGCAACACAGCAAAACCCTGTCTCTACTAAAAAAAAACCCCCAAAATATGAGAATCAGCCAGGCGCAGTAGCTCACGCCTATAATCCCAGCACTTTGGGAGGCTGAGGCAGGAGGATCACCTGAGCAGGAGTTTGAGACCAGCCTGGCCAACATGGTGAAACGCCATCTCTACTAAAATACAAAAATGCAGATTTGAAGTTGTTGAGTCTTCCTGGTGAATTGAACATGTGGTTTAAGGTGACCCCACTGCTGGGCGTGGTGGCACACACCTGTAATCCCAGCTACTCAGGAGGCTGAAGCAGGAGAATCGTTTGAACCCAGGAGGTGGAGGTTGCAGTGAGCCGAGATGGTGCCACCGCACTGCAGCCTGGGGGAAAAAAAAAAATTCAATTCCAAAAAAAAAAAAAAAAAAAAGTTGAAGAACAGATAAAATAAGAAACTTTCAAGTAAAGGTAAAAATACAGATGAAATAACCAAGCTAAAGGGAAGTACATTATCGAATTACATTAAAAACTAAAAACAAGAGGAAAATCAAACTAACTTTTTTTGCTATTGTGCGGGGACAGAGTCTCGCTCTGTTACCCAGGCTGGAGAGCAATGGTGTGGTCTTGGCTCAGTGCAACCTCCGCCTCTCGGGTCCAAGCAATTCTTGTACCTCAGCCTCCCGGATAGCTGGGATTACAGGCACCCGCCACCATGCCTGGTTACGTTTTGTATTTTTGGTAGAGACAGGGTTTCACTATGTTGGCCAGGCTGGTCTCGAACTTCTGACCTCAAGTGATCTGCCCGCCTCAGCCTCTCAAAGTGCTGGAATTACAGGCGTGAGCCACCGCACCCGGCTAAGAAGCATTACATTTTAAAAGTCAGAAAGAAATGCAGAAACCATAAGTAGGAAGGTAGTGGAGTTGTCTGGAAATAGGCAAAATACTTAGGCAAAAAGCGGGAACACCCGTGGGGCCACATTGTAACCACGTGCTCAATCCACCAGGAACACTCGACAACTTCAGACCTGCATTTAACATTAACTGTTCAGATTATTCATTGGTCAAAGTATTCATTACAGGTGCTACTTTAGACATCCGAAGAAACAGAGAAAAAAGTCAAATTAAGTGTATGTCCTCCTGTGGGCTTCTAAGTGGACTAGCAATAACAGAAAGAAGGTCTCCTGAAATATCGGCTGGGCACAGTGGCTCACGCCTGTAATCCCAGCACTTTGGGAGGCCGAGGCGGGTGGGTCACTTGAGGTCAGGAGTTTGAGACCAGCCTGGCCAACATGGTGAAACCCATCTCTACTAAAAATACAAAAATTAGCCAGGTAGGTGGTGCACGCCTGTGATCCCAGCTACTTGGGAGGCTGAGGCAGGAGAATCGCTTGAACCAGGAGGCGGAG